GAGCCCTGAGCGTGTTTCTGTGCAACGAGACGGTCCCATCTGAGAGTGGTGAGAGACAATAAAAACCCAAAGTGTTACTTATGCGCACAGCCTGCTTGGTCTCTACGTGGTGAAGCAGTTGGAGTTTGTTGCCTCATTATCGAGCCGGTCACCGCATGTTACGCAGAATGGTCCTGTAATGTGGGACTCACCTACCGGTCTGGGATAAATCCATCCTCCTGTCTCTTCTCTGGGCCTTTTCCCCTTCGCAAATAAACTTTCCAAAGACACCTGATCTGTTTCTTACTCATTTTGCTGCTTGTGGGCTCAGTGTTGGCGCGCAGGTAACCGAGAAAATCTGGTAAAATGATTTTCAAAATAAAAGATCCTCCAGACTCAAATAATACATAAAACTGAAATATTTAATTATTTCTTGTGCAGCCCGGTACCAATTGGTCTACTGACCGGTACCGACCTGCGGCCCGGAGGTTGGGGACCACTGAGTAGATGGAAACATTAGCTGGACACTTGGTGATTTTGAACTCTTCCATCAGGATGCAGACAACAAGGTGGAGCGTACCTGGGGCGACTGCAGCGTCCAGAAGAAGTACTCTCACGTTGACCTGGTGGTCATGATCGACGGCTTTGACGGAGAGAGAGGAGCCGTTGTGGCTGGGAGCAGAGGTTACTTTCTAAAGGTGAGCTTCTCTGTGTGTACCAAGACAGGATTGCTCTGTTCCTCCTCTACAATAAAAATGTTGCGGCCCCAACTGTGCAGACATAACTCACGAAGAAGAACATTTCTGACCAAAGTTTTAATCCTTCACATGTACGTTCTGGAAGTGGCCGCTAACGTTTTGTTCTCCTGTTTTGCTCCCAGGGGCCCCTGGTGTTCCTGGAGCAGGCTCTGATCAACTACGCCTTAAGAATCCTCCACAGCAAGAACTACACCATGCTGTACACGCCGTTCTTCATGAGGAAAGAGGTGATGCAGGAAGTGGCCCAGCTCAGCCAGTTTGACGAGGAACTTTATAAGGTTTGTGAATCTCAACTGAATTCTGTAGTCTGTTTGTTTCAGTAGAGACTCTGTCCTGCAGGCTGTTCTTAATGGGGGATTAAATAAACTGTTTAAAATTCAAACATCTGAGAAATTAAACGAAAAATGGACCAGTAGGGAGATAAATTTAATCAGTGCACTGCAGTTGCAGTGGTGCCCTCTAGTGGCCATAACTAATAACTGCATTTTCTACAT